CCTTTAAGACTTCTCTCTATTCCTTAGTAAAAGTTTGTCTCAGCAGCTTTGTGAATAGGTTTTAAGAGAAAACTCTTAGCTAAAAACTTTTACTGCTATTTAGGAGAACTCTTAGTGGTAAGATACAATGTTTTGTGAATACGGGCCCAGATCTGGAAGTAAATAAATGTAAATCCAAGTCAAAGCCCTAATAAGACAAGACGATAATAACCTCTGGGGGTGAACTGGAGGGACCGCAAATAGGGACAGCATAATAGTCCATCAGGTACAGTGCAACAACATTAATTAATGTCTGTTGTCACATAATTCATTTTAATCACCTGTAGTTGTGCTTCATTCTGAATGTGTTTTTCAGTAAGACATTCTACCCTCATCATCATGTGGCTTCAGCAGTTGTGGGTGTCATGCTGAACTCACTGTGTCCACTAGGGGTCAGTAAACACCAGTTTCATTTCTGTGTTCATGCATCACTTTATGTTGACATCTATCACTTAATGTATGTGTCTCTGCACATGTGCTGTGAATTGAGCTCATATGACCCTTTTTCTTGTTTTAATGGACATTCATGGGTTTATTGTGCTGTTGATACTTTAATATTGAGTGTTCAAATCACTAAGCGTTAACTATGAACAATTATAATAGTGATGATTGACTTAACAAACAGCAGTAAATATGCTAATCGTTTTACTCTTGGCAGTAAACAACTAAATTAATCTTAATTTTTTTAATTAACGCAAGCCTTGGCCCTCTCCAGTGTTGGGTGAAATTAGTTACTAAGTAATTAGTTACTGTATTTTAATTACTTTCCCTTGATACAAGTAAAGTAAGGGATTACTCTTATTTTTTCTGTAATTTAATGACAGTTACTTCTTATGTAATTGAACTTAATACTGTGTATAGACTTTATAACATTCATTTGCAATACAATAGTGGATTTAACATAAAAATGTAAAGTCTAACCTTAAAATGCATGCTTTTATGTACCTTCTCACTTCTTTGGTAAGTTAATAAGAATATTGGTTACATTTTTGTGTCCAATTCTCACTATTTACTATTGGTATTAGAGTGAATATTACTGGGATATTGGCTGTTTATTATTACTTAAAACACACATATTAATGTCTTATTCTGCAAGAGCTTATTCTAAATCCTTAGTTTTATTTGAAAGAATTAAAAGAACCGTTTCATGTCTGTCCTTGTATCGTTAACTTGTCGAGGTTGATATAGGATTTAGAAAGTAATTAGTAATAAGTAATTAAATACTTTTTGGAGAGAGTAATTTGTACAGTAATCTAATTGTACTGTTGAAGATGTAATTAGTAACTAGTAATTAATTATTTTTTTAGAGTAACTTACCCAACACTGGCCCTCTCCATAGGCTCGAGCACGCATGGAAAAAAGCCCAAATTATTTGTTGGATTTTGAGTAAAGGTCATTGCACACTGAGTCCGAAATTTTCGTACGTTAAAAAATAAATACGACCTCACGCTGTGTCAATCACGTTTACACACTGCCTCCAAAACTTTCATCCGTCATAAAAAAATTTGGATCAGGTTCGATGTTCTGCATTTTCGCATCCGTAGCATGCATTTTGATAGGAAAGGATGACAAATACGAAAAAAAAATGGCAAAACACATGCGAAAAGTTTGGTCTCAGTGTGCAAGGACCTTAATAATGTCAAAATGTTTTACGTTTTTATTTATGTACAGCTAAATAAAAAACAACAACGACAAAAATCCCCACCTTTGGCCCTCTCATTAACCCATCACATGCTGAGATGCTATTATACTAATGCCTTAACTAGGGGAAGGGCGCTGCAAGGTGGACACGTCCAATGATTTTAAACCTGTATTGGCTACAAATATACCATATACTCCGTCAGAACACGCTTACACAAAGTCATGGCTTGGATATATAGTACAGCACATATGGCATCAAATAAAACTGTGTGGCCCACCGACTCACATTGGGGAAGAAAAATAGCTGCTGACAGAATGAGTTTTTTTCTGTTTCTTAAACCACTAGGGACAAATAAAGGCTTGTATTAGAATCACTGACTAACATCAAGCGCATTCATGCTTCATTATGCAATTTTGGCTTTCACTGTACAATAAAATGCGCTGACAGTAGGACTAATAGACGGACAAGCAGCCTGCCCTTATCATTTTCTCAGAGCTGCAACATATCTGTGGACCAACAGCACCAGAACAAAGAATAACAGCAGCACCACGCTTGTCTCTTAGGTTAGTGTGGTGGGTCTGTGCCTTGGTGGTCCATTGCCACAACCCACAAGCAACAGAATAATTAACAAAACAATATATAGAAGGTGGACAGTGTCATACACACAAATACCACCATGGTAACACACATGCTGCTAAAGTAATACAATAAACATTAAGATAAGTTGTAACATAAAACCCTAATGTACATAACTGATCAAATAAATATTTCAATAAAAAAAAACATCAACCAACCATCAAAAAAGTTCTCGCACAGTGAATGCTGGGAAGATCAATTTATGGTTTTTCATTTTCATTTCAAGATGACTTGATCTTTTTCACTTACAAAAACTGTAACAATATTTTACAGTAGCATTACATGAAATGTCCCATTTGATTTATTAGCTTCTCACCAATTTTTTTAGTGTAAGAATTGTATATTGAATCCCTTTTTATTGATTACCATCATGTTTGTGCAACAATGTATTTTGTTGTGTATTAACTACACTCTTAAGTGACAAGTTTTTTTTTTTTCACATTTTCAAAACTCTAAACACAATTAGGACAACATCCGTCTGTTTGTGTTTGCATACAAAGAATATTATAAAAAGCCAGTGGGAGTGTACTTGATGCGCTTTGGTGTTAATGTGTAATGTGTTCAATGTAACGGAAGACAATCAAAAAAAACATGATTAACCAATTCGCAGTCATTAACTAGTGAAGTTTTGAAAATGTCAAATTGAGGATTAAATTGTTTCGGTTGGCAAACAAACCATAAAAAGGAATATGATTCCATTTCATGAGTTTTACCAGATAATGTAGATCATCTTCCGGTCTTTGTTTAACCATAACAAGAGTGTGTCCATCAATAATAAAGCACAGAGGAAAACTATTCTTCATTGAATTTGTATTAATGCAATATTGGATGCCTTTACATGATTTTCAGTTAGCTCAATTACAGTATTGCTTTGTGAATATATATTTAATCTTAATTCCAAAATCATAATTTTTTTTGTTACAGCAATATGAACTACAACCAAAAGTCTATATGCTGGAAATGTTAGCTTCTTAAAAGGTTGTGCTGTTGAATTGCTTTTTCAGTGTGTTATTGATCCAGCGGATATGTCTTTCAGAAAGAAAAGTGTACACAGTTGGTTCCTTGGGATCACCGCATTCTTTTGACCCTGATACCACTCCAACTATGTTTTTCTTACAGTGCAGTGGTCCACCGGAATCTCCCTGAAAAAGAACACAAGGTTCGTCTTCCTTTAGACAGCTAAAAGAATGATTTCAAAGAGCCTGCAACCAGCCATAAATCAAAGACCACAATAATGACATACCCAACAGATGCCTCTGTTTTCTTGCTTGTTTCCGGCACACAGCATGTCTTTGGTGATCACAGGATCTCTATTGTAGTAGCAGTTGCACAGGTCCCTGTCCACCACTGTCACCTCTAACATTTGCAGTTTATCAGAAGGTTTCATGACGTTAGAATTAGTGGTTCCCCAACCTGTCACAACACATTTTGTTCCAGGTGGAACGTCTTGTTCCTTTTTAGGGATTTTTTTAGGTTTCGCTTTCACTTTTTTGCTTAGCTAAAAAAAAAAGAATAAAAAAAGACAACACTCAAATGCATACTGTGAAAAATGCATACACTTACCATACTACGTTCAATTCATCCTTACCTTAATGAGCATGTCATCTTGTTTAGTCTTTACATTGAATGTTTTAGGGTACTCGTAACTGAGGACGCCGACACGCTGAGTGCCTTTACTCAGAGACAGAGATCCTACCAGAACTGTCACCGATGTAATGGGTTTTCTGAAAAAAAAAAACTGATTGTATCTCTAATTTATACAATTATTTTAGTGGAAAAAAATGGCAAAAAAAAAATAACTCGCTCTTTCAAGAGGAAAAAAATAGAAAAGGGAAAAATCGATGCAAGACACTGCAGATTACATGCTCTTATTTATAGATTTATATTATTTCCTGAAAGATTTCATTACAAGTAAATAAATAAACAAAACAAACAAAGATCAAATTAACAACAAAAATACTAATATTACACTATTACAAAATTACTAATATTACAAAAATACTAATTTGTAGATTTATATTCTTTCTTGAAAGGTAATATTATTCTTCACATATATTTTACAAGTTCATTTGTTGCCTTACCGTTGGCAATGTGCTGCAGTTAAAAGCCACTGGTCTTGAATCAGGATTCCTCCACACACATGGATCTGGTCCTTCTGAATGGACACCATACAGGGTTGATGTTTTTTGACATCTTTGCCTCCAACAATGGACACCTCAGAGCAATCTGGAATAGAGATGTCAAAGGCGGTTACAGATTGTGAACTTTTTAATCAAACTGTGACAGATAAATAACAATTACCTGCCAATTTGAAAAAGGTGAATGCCAGGAAGTAATACACAATCAAATATCTGCGAACATCCATCTTGCTGCCTGTTCTCTCAGCCAAAAGTCAATATGTTTCTTCAGACATCCAACATCGTCAAATGTAAGAGCACTGAGGAAATAGCTGCTTTTTAATGCACGTTTTGGTTACTTTGTGGTCAGAGCAACATCAAAAGGTGTGTACGTGTGGGAGAGTTTGCATGCGATGCATCTGTTTTTGCACATTTTAACAAGTTCACATTTAGTTCCATTTCTCTGTTTGAAGAATCCAAAACCAACAAAGAAATACCTTATAATCTACTGTCATAGCATTTCTGTAAATGCTGTTCATATGAAAGAAGAACTTTAAAAAAGCATGTTAAAGCTCTACCGACAGTATCTGTAATTTTGACCTATACCTCAGTTTACATTGACAGAAAGCCACTTCTGTGGGACAATCAATGGACAGCAACTGTTGTCCCTAAAGACTTCCTTAGTAAGAGATTGTATTTTACAAACTACTAGAACAAGCTTTTAGTTTCTGCGGTTATCAACACTATCGATGTTGCAGATTTGAATGTAAGAGTCCAACTCTGTCACCGTTTAGAGTAACCAGAGAACACTGCAGCATTATTTCAAAGTTTTCCTCAGCTATTAAAATGAGTCTAAGAGGGGACCTTGAAAGGAGAAGTCCCATCGGGGGACATGTAGCCCTCACCGAACAGTTTTTCACACCTTCAGAAGTAAAGCAGAAGCTTCGAAGCAGAACGCAGGGCTGCGGTCTCCAGCTGCGTGAGATTCAAATGAAGACTGAGGTTTTTATTGAGCTTCATGTCAAGACAGAAGAAACAAAAATCTATAGAGCAAAAATTTAACCGCTTTTATAAAAATGAGTTTCTATACTTGCAAATGAGAATATTTTACTTTCTTTGACAAATATAGAGCTTTTGGAAAACTGATGTTGTTAAGGGGACTGGTCAATAATGTTCACATTATCATATAATAATATCATGAAGCAATAATAATTTAGATTACAATACAAATACATTCAGAACAATGGAGAACAACAACAAGTAACTTCTCAGATAACCAGCTGTAAAGGTGAACCAAGTGTGCCGCCCAAGTCTTGAAAAGTGAAGCCAACACAGTTTGATCGCCCCCAGGTGGCTGGTCCCAGTATGGTCATAAATCCCGCCCTCTAATATAATGGGACGTGAGACAAAGTAAATAATTACATTTCACTTAAAATATTTTTTTTTCTAAAGATGGATTTTGTCATTTCATGTAGTTTTTATCATGCTGATGTAAGTTCAAGTGTTTTATTTTTTTTTTTTATATATAAGTTTGAGTTTAGTTAGTTCTGTGATGCTATGAAAACAGGGTGTGACGTAATGATTGACAGCTGAGATTGACAGCTTCTCTGAGTGAACTGAGGCACCAACTGACTTTTTCGGGATCTTCAAGAGGAGACTGGAGTTGTATTTACCTTATTTTAACACAAGCCTCTTGTACAGCAGTCAGCAGACAAATATTGGAGCAGTCAGGCTAATTAATGCTGCCGGAAGGAACACGGAGCCGTTGAATACACGAAATAGTCTTTATTAGACCCAAGACACACAGGGGTAAATCCAACTCTGGAGCTAGGAACCAGGAATGACACACGAACACAACATAGTAGACCCGACCGAGACAGACTGCACAGACTAGACTTAAACTGTTATTACACTTTTAATGCTCTCACTTACAATGTCCCTCTGATCACTTTCGTCTCGCATTTCTCTCTCTCTGTCTTACACATATTCTAACTACAACTACTAGATATTTTTCATTAAAGGAAAACAGGGAAAATACTCACCATTTCATGTCAAACTGTTAATCAGAATCAACAAAGCTTTATTGCCACGATTCATAACTTAGTACTTGTCACGATATCAGTCAGCTCTCACTATGGACTACATTTCCCACAAGCCCCGCACCTGGAACTAATTACACACACACACCTGTTGTATATCTGGAGCACTATAAAGGTTGCTCTCACACACACACTCACTGCGAAGTATTGTGTATGTTGATGGTTGTCTGTCTGTTCGCTACGGCGCCGTGCCTAGCGATTCCTGAGCCTGAGTCTAGTCTGTCTGTTCCTGTGTTTTGACCCACTGCCTTTGTTTGACTTCGCTGTGACATTAAAGCTGCACTTGGACCCGACCCTGCCTTCTCGTATCCTTTCATCCGTAACAGTACTGCGCTGTAAAACTGTGATTTTATTGGATTGTGTTTTACAAGGAAATACTATTTAACATTTTACTTTTTTTTTCATACATTTCATGCATTATTTTTTTTTTTTTTAGTGTGCATGCAAAGTACACCTGTATAGTACAGAAATAGACCGTATAAATAATGTGAAGTAAGTGTAGAACTTAAGGGAAAATAAAAGTGTTAACATGTCAAATACGAAAATAAATATATAAAAAATAAGATTAAAAATCGAGTAAATGGGAATTAATCTCTTTTCATCACAAGGTATATTGTTTTGATGAATAGCTTGCATACTGTACAATATTAGCATACAGTGTCTCTGTAACATCTCAGACTGAACACATAAGGAGCTCATAAACACATTCACTAAAAACTCATTCTTGTTATTACATAATGAGGCATACATGAGTCAAAATGAGCAACTGATCTGGGGAGTGTTTCCCAAAAGCATCGTTAGCTACCTTTGGTGGTAAGTTCCACTGAACTTTATTGGTAACGACAGAACTTGTGACCATAGTTGCTTTTGGGAAAAGCACCCCTGATCTGGGAGCAGGCTAAATGAATGTAAATCAGAGTCAATAATGACCTCTGGGGGTGAACTGGAGGGACTGCAAATCTGAATGTGTTCCAGTTTATACTCCAAATCCAGCATAACAGTCCATCAGATAGAGTGCAACAACATTAATCAGTCTTGTATCACTAGTTCAGCTAAATCGCCTGTGGATGGACTTTATTCTGAACTTGTTTTTAAGATATTTTACTCTCATCATGTGGCTTCAGCAGTTGTGGGTGTCATGCTGAACTCTCTGTGTCCACTAGGGGTCAGTAAACACCCGTTTCATTTCTGTCTTCATGCATCACTTTGTTTAAAACTATATTATTTAATGTATGTGTCTCTGCGCATGTGCGGTGAATTGAGCTCATGCATTCTCATGTCTTCACTCCTGACATCTAGAAATGTCTACATTTGTAGAAAAAAATATAAATTACAACTTATCTCAAATTTAATGTCAGCATGAAATCCAGAATGACCCTATTTACTGTTTTAATGGACATTCATGGGTTTATTGTGCTGTTGATAGTTAAATATTGAGTGTTCAAATCACTAAATGTAACTATGAACAATAATAATAGTGATGAATGACGTAACTGGTGGTTGAGGAGATTCCCCTCTTCTATGTAAAGCGCTTTGAGTGCCCAGAAAAGCGCTATATAAATGTAAGGAATTATTATTATTATTATTATTATTATTAACAAACAGCAGTAAATATGCTAATCATTTCACTCTTGGGAGTAAACAACTAAATTAATCTTAATTTTATTAATTAATGCAAGCCTTGGCCCTCTCATTAACCCATCACATGAGATGCTATGATACTAATACTTTTATGAAATGTTTCCCTGTGTTTACAGTATATTTGATAGAGATACAGTATAAGTGTATTATGCAGCATGTAATGGCACATCAGCGCCACCAGAGGCAGCAGAGCGCTGTGTTCAGTGTTGCTAATAGAGACATTTTGCTGCTAGATTTACCTGGAAACTCTTCACAAATGTTGCCAAATAATCAAGTCTGCTGAAATCTCTTCTTCATGAGCTGACAGAAACATACAAACAGACACACATGAACCAACAGACCGAATACAGGGCTGAATGTAAATGTGTGAATACAGGAGGAGCTCTGACATCACTGTAGTTCAGTCAGAGACTCAGAGAAAGTGAAACTAACTTGATCAACAACAATATGAACACCTGAAACCATCAAACTCTTTAAACAACAGAATATTGAGTCGTTCAAAGACCCTTGTGAACACATCTGATACTCACAGGTAAGTGCTAGAAATATAAGAGAGGTTGTCCTGAACAGGTTTCTAATGGCAGTGGTCTGGTTTAGTAGGGTTTATGTCAGACTGGACTGAGTTGAACAGAAGCAGGTTTAAGCGTCTCAAATACTCAGCTGCTTTAGTTGTTTACTGCACTGAAATGATATCAGAATTGAGTTAAAAGAATGTCATTTGATTGAACAAAGTTTGGTGTTTCTGTCATTTTGACATAAAGACAAACAGGTAAGAAACAGGAAGTAAATAACCTGCTGAAAAACTCAACACAATCCTGCTTCACTGCAGCTGAAAATCACTTTTACATTACACAAGATGAGCATAACTTATGATCATATAATATATTTTGTGGAAAGATGAATCTAATTTTTGATAAGGAGATATATATGTTTGTTGGAAAATATAGAGCTTGTTCTTTGTACTTTCTTTAAACAGCAGGTCATAGTTCAGATTGCTCAGTAAGTTTACGAGTCACTCACTTTGTTTCAAACGAATTATTGTGTTTCCATCATTATCAATTCTCACATTTTAACCAATTTAATATAAATATTGATTTAGCTGTCATGGTCCAATTTGGTCGAATCTAAAAAAAAAGGAAAACTATAATTTTTCTTGAAAAGGCTTTAAGAGGGAAAGAACAATGGCAGAATCTTCACTAACAGCAAGAAAAACCAGGAGACAGAGTATCGACAGTTTACCTCCATGTAAGACAATAACCAAGAAGAACACTTTGACTTTGACTTTTCTTTTATAATATTGAATATGTACAGTTCAGGAATGTAAAGCAGATCAAATAATTTCAGCTTAACGAGAATAATTATTGTACATATATTTATTTATTTAGGTAAGTGGTTATGTAATGAGCTTCACATTTAGGTTCTGATCAGCTTGTCTGGGTTCATTTTACAATAATAACCAGCTGACTGTACATGATCTCTACATATTTGAGTTTCTTCACCACTCTTTGTCTCTAAACACTCTTTACATTCAACCAGCTTCATGAGGTGCATCATGGGATTCTTCATAAACAGTATTGAAGGAGGTCTTGTTCTCTCTATAGACTGAACTGATGAAGACACAGAAAGACGTGCAGCTGATGATCCAGAACACAATCAAGAAGATTCAAGACATTAAACACTCAGCAGAAGTCAGAAAAGTGAGTTTAAAATAATATAATAAAATAAATGTAAATATTTATTATTGCAACAAACTTCAATGTTGAGGGAAGAAAGAGGCAAGAACCGGCAGACATAACAATAACTAAATAAACAAACAATCAAACAAAATGAGTGACAGCCCCTCACAGATGACTATCACACTTAAATATATAGCAACAACCAATAAAACAACAACTAAAATGTCCAGGGTCTGTTCTGCTCTCGTCCAGGGTGCAGCGTGAAGTTTAACACTTCATTTGAGGGATTCTGAAAACACATGTAGCGTATGTATGTGGAAAAAAAAATGTATGAGCAATAATAACACGGATTCTTGCAACAGGGATTTTATACTGAACTGCTGGAGATGATGGAGGAGCAGCAGAAAGCAGCAGAGAAACAGGAGCAAGAGCTGATTGAAGAGCTGGAGCTGGAGATCACTGAGCTAAAGATGAGAAACACTGAGCTGGAGCAGCTCTCACACACTGAAGATCACCTCCACCTCCTACAGGTCAGTCAACATGATCTCTCTGATCAATGATAATGCAGCATATGACACCAGAACACTCCCCATGCTGAAGGATTTCTCCTCTCTCCTGCTGTAGATTCACTCATCCCTGTGCAGCCCTAGAAACAGCAGGAACTGGCCTGAGATCAGTATGAAGACTCATGAGAGTCTGGAGACTCTGAGGAGAGCTCTGACTCAACTGAAGGACACTATAGATGAGAAACTCACACTAACTGGTACATCAACACATACACTGATCAGATAGACACATGATGATGTACTCAATTCTTTAAATATAAGCTTGAGATCTGCTGATGTTTTTTTCTTGTCATTAGTCTCTACAGAGCTGAAGGTGATGCAGCAGTATGCAGGTACAGTGTGCTGTCTGCACTACACTAGTTTACATTCATACACTCACAGCTTCATTACTGCACTACAATCTGATTAAACACTGGATTCATTCAAAACATCAGCATCACAAAATATCTGTGTATTGTGAAGTTGAGAATTATATTCTGTGTTTTCTCAGTGGATGTGACTCTGGATCCTGATACAGCTCAACCTAAACTCATTCTGTCTGATGATGGAAAACAAGTGAGAGATGGTGACATTAGACAGAAACTCCCAGACAAACCAGAGAGATTTGATACATGTGTAGATGTCTTGGGAAAGGAGGGATTCTCGTCAGGGAGATTTTATTTTGAGGTGCAGGTGAAGGGAAAGACTGATTGGACTTTAGGAGTGGCCAGAGAATCCATTAACAGGAAGGGAGAGATCACACTGAGACCCAGTGATGGATGCTGGACTGTGTGGCTGAGGACTGGAGATGAATATAAAGCCTGTGATGATCCTCCTGTCTCTCTGTCTCCGAGAGTGAAGCCGCGGCAGGTCGGTGTGTTTGTGGATTATGAGGAGGGTCTGGTCTGCTTTTATGATGTGGAGTCCAGCTCTCATATCTACTCTTTCACTGCTCAGTCTTTCACTGAAAAACTCTATCCATTTTTTGGTCCATGCCCTAATGAAGGAGGTAAAAACTCCAGCCCACTGATCATCACACCTGTCAGTTATAATAAATGAATTCACTCAATTATCAAATGCAAGATTAAAATAATTAATTTTATCATTAAAAATCTGGAAACATTATGTGCTGCTATTTTTTATCATTTGTTTTTCAGTTTTTAAAATCTAAATGATTACATAACATATTTTTAATGTAAATATAATGCTTGTTCAGTAAAATATTTTTTGTTCCAACTTTTCATAAATATTCATCTTTGTCAATTTTCTACCTGACAAAGTGAATTTACCTGTAAAAACTTAACCAAAAAAAAAAAAAAACTATGATAACCTTAATAAATTTCTGTAGAATTGAGATGCGCTGTGATCTTGCTGTTATAAGAAGACAGCAGCACGCAATGCACAACAAATATCACATAACATCACAAACGAATGTCATAACCCTTTTAAAACATTTATTTCATATTATTATACACAACATTTTCATATTATTCTGTAGCGTTTGTTTACCACATGTACATTTGAACATAATTAGGACATATTCTTTGCCAATGTTAAAATAATTTTTTAATATGCCAATAAAACGTACGCCAGGCTTTCTCCAGGCCTTTATCACTTCATTCAAATTATGCAAAACAAAACGACAAATGTTTACTTTCACGAGCCGTCACATATTTGCGAGCTTGCAGCTGGAATCTCTAAAGCGAGAATGAGAAGTGAATTGAGCTTATTCTGCAATAATGCATTCTCATGTCATGACAAAATATGTTGATTAATTAACTTCAAGTTGACTTTAGCTCTTGATGAATGTCCTGTTCATTTTGTTGTCATTGTGGAAATAAACAAATAAATACTGTTAAAATGTCAGAGTAGTATTCTGAACGTCAGTTTTATGCTTTTATAGAAATGCTTCCTTTAATTACAACACATGCATATTCATTTATCAAAACATCGTATACTGTACATCAGCTATGAGCCATTTGACATGCTGCCCACAATTAATCAGTCCCAAGAGTCTAATTAAGGAAAAGTTGAGTTGAGTCGTCACAGCAGATGATATCAGAAGCTCTCAGAATCAGGAGGTCTTGACCCGTTCTACATCCAGACATGAGTTTGATGAATTCAGTCACATCCATAATGAGGAACTGCAGATGTATTGTGGGATTCTTTATGACTTCTGGGAATGAACACTTTAGAATATAAACCAGGAATTAATGATCTTTGATCCACACGAGATAAACTTCACCCAGCCAAAACCTGACACAAATTAGCAGTAATTTAATACAGAGCGCCTGTCTGGAACCACAGAAGCACTTTAGACGACTGAAATACGCTGTGTTTGTGTATGCATGTGTTTGTGTGTGCACAATAATTGCTGACTGATTGCTCTCAATGGTCTGTCCAGTGAAGACAACAGAAAGATTACTTTGATCATATCTTCAGTTCCGTGCAGACAGTTTCGGGGTTGACGCTTGTTCTGCAGAATTTGGATGGGAAGTACACTAATGTAGCTTAGCATTACTATAGTGTTACCAGATTTTATGCAAAAGCGTCACCACATTATATTACCACAATGCATATTATCTTTTACTTTTCTGCATGCTTCCATTTTTATGGTTTCTTATATAGTCCACAAACTGGAGCCTGGCAGACATTTGATTGTGGATCAACCTGGAAAACCCAAGCTGTTAATCACAGTTTGTCGAATAGAGGTAAGCTATTACCTTTCTAAGCAATCAAATGGTAAAACAGGTAAAAAGATCTCACTGACATTCTGTACATCTCACATGAGACAGTAAGAAAACACTCAGCAACCTTTTAGAACACCCCAGCAATCCATAGCAATGCATAAACCCACTTTGAACCAGATAGCAACCGCTTAGCAACGCCCTGCCATCGCAAATAAAAACTATAGGCAAAGATTTTACACCAATACAGGAATATATTCAATCCAACAGTCGCAATGAGATGCACGTATACTTAACATATGCATTATGCATTAAAAATACAAACTCTGAACCATATGACATCTAATTAAGAGTCACAACAGCAGCAGCTTCAGCATAAATTAAATTAAAATCGTTTTTTTTTTTTTTACAAGCTGCAATGCATGATGGGAACTTGCACAACATTGTGCAATGTGAAATAGTTTGTTCAGATGACTCAGTTTGGAACGTTGGGACAACATTTAGACACGTTTTGAACAAATGCCTGAGTATCTAAGATCAACAAAACAACTTTTGATAGAAACATGTTTAGAGTATTCTTGTTCAGTTCACACAATATAATAATCCGACTCCTTTTACTAAAAAAACACTTTGTTCAAGCTACTTTATTTACATTTGTTAGACAACAACTGTTAGAACTTTTACTAGCTTTTTTACAGTCTCAAATTATATTTATTTCTAAAGTGTTTTATACAATACTTTGATTGTTCAAGGCAGCTTCACATTAATAAACAGGAAAATAACAGTGTTCATCTTGTAAAATTCTTCAATTATAAATCAAATTCAATTTCAGCTGTAAAGCAGTGCTAGAGAAGACAATACTGTCATTATCCATCTCAGTTCAGTTCACTGTGTCCTCATCCAATAGTGTCAGTGCAGTTGAATCAGTAATAATACTGATTACTAATTTTCTTTTAATTTTTCTTTTACAGTGAGTTTTGCATGGCTGAGTTTCTTTTAAACATCTAGTTTTCTTTGCTCTGACCCCCCAGTGAAAACTATGGAGTTTGTATAGAAAAAGTGTGAGTTGCACGACACATTTGGTCCGAGCATGAAGAGCGTGACGGCTCTCGGTGTGGAGCGGAGCTGCTGCTGATTGATGAAGTGGGAGCTGTTAGCTGGAGAATGATGTTTGTTGGCTGGCTGTGGTCACATCCATCTGTGCATAATTCATCTGGAGAGATTCCAGGTCTGTTACAATGATGCAATTAAACCTGTTCCGCTCCAAATCCCAAATCCAGGACACTCAATAGCTCAGAGAGTCCGTCTGATACCTCACACTCCACTGTCACGGCCCTCCTCTTTAACTCCACACGAGTCAATACTGCGGCGCCACTCGGACAGACCTCCATCACTCATGATCTGACGCTCTGCTCGCCCCGTCTTCTGCCGTGTGTGTGTGTAACATTAGATGCTTTTTCCTGTGTGGACCGTCCTTCCGTTCTCATGCTCTGAGCTCAGTTCTGACCCACTGTTCTCAGACAGAGTGACCACATTAACTCCACTGACCTGTTAATCAGTGTTCATAAAACAGACCCATTTACACAGTATGATGGAAGGACCGGATCTCAGGACTGACACTAGAACTACACTAGTTAGTTAGATAGATAGATAGATAGATAGATAGATAGATAGATAGATAGATAGATAGATAGATAGATAGATAGTTATATTAGATAGATAGATAGACAGATAGATAGCTAGATAGATGATAGAGTTTGATTTTGTTTAGTGTTTTGCATAGATAGATAGATAGATAGTTTGATTTTGTTTAGTGTTGTGAATAGATAGATAGATAGTTTGATTTTGTTTAGTGTTTTGCATAGATAGATAGATAGATAGATAGATAGATAGATAGATACGATCTATCTATCTATCTATTCAAGAGATTTGTTCAAAAACTCTGGACGAAACAATTCATTTAAAGATATAAATATTTTTAAATAGACTTATTACATTAAATAAAACATTTTGTCAGAAACTTGAGTAAATTAGCCTGCGTATTATTTTGTTTGGTTGTCTAATATTTTGTTTTCAGAATCGTGAGAGAACCGTGATCTATATTCTAAAAATCAAATAGGCTAATAAAAAAATACATATCTTTTTATGGCCTATAAACCTTCAAACTTCAATTTTTAAACAACCCTTTCACTTTCAGACAACTCAAAACTTTTGAAACAAGGCTTTGTCAAGCCAAAATTCAAGGTTTTGTTTTGATTAACTTTTGTAGTTAGTTATATGGAAAAAAGAAAAAAATCTTTGAATTTCGATTCATTTTAGATCTACTTCCTACATCCGAACTGCAGATCTGCGTCATGTTTGCCACGTCAATTCAAATTCCTGAATTTTAATTTGTAAGTTAAGCTGGAATTTAAAAACCATAGTCCTAGGTTGTTGTGTGCGGTTGCCAGGGTGTTGCTATCCAGATGCTGTTCTAGGTTCTAGCTCGTTTCTATGCTGTTGCTAGGGTGTTACTATGTGGTTGTTAGGGTGTTCTAGGCCGTTTCCTCCTGCTCTCTGCAGTATGTATGGCTCGAGTCCCTCCTTCAGTGTAAAATCATTAGTTTGATGACTTCAGTCTGAAAACTGCAGCCAGATGAATGTTGCAGGGAGTTTGGTACTCGGGGTTTGTTCAAAACACTGCCTCTCTGTTAGAGCAATATTAATAGTGATGCCTAACTTCGCAAACACCACTAATAAAGTTGAAGACAATCTGTAAAGTGTCTCTGGCTCGCAGGACAGGTCTGAGCAGCAAATAAAATCCCCAGGCAGCAGAAGTGATGGCAGCGGGCCACGGGGCAACTGCCTGATCCAGGGTTTTTTTTACAGCTTGTCCTGATGTAGGGA